ATCCACTAACTGGTCAGTATGATTAAATCAGTGGCAGCTTTGTTCAACGTTACTATATATTTGATACTTCAGAGGAAAATTACACCATACTATAACTGACTTGAAGAGATTTGATGACAGGAAACATGGCAGTTACTGCAAATGCCTGTTTGTTCCTCATGGTTGGGACTGCCATCCATCTTTGCTTGGGTTCCTGGCAATGTAATCCATCTCTATCCTAGGTGGAAAATTCAATTGTTCTTCTTTGAAGACAAGATACGAGGGATATCCAGAAAGTAAGGTTACAAGATTTTTTTTAAATACAAAGAATGAATGTATTTTAATAAAACTTAAATGGATTATAGCATAGGTATTACATTATTTTCCCAAATAATCACCATTAAGTTCAATACATTTTGTCTTCTGTATGACAAGTTTTTTTTGATGCCGGTGTCATAGAAGTCTCCTGCCTTTTTCAGCTAGTTTTCAGCTAGTCCGTCACTTCAATTTTCACCTCGTTGTCATTGGAAAAGTGTTTTCCGCCCAGATGTTCCTTCAACTTAGTGAACAGATGATAGTCACTGGGTGCAAAATTGGGACTGTGAGAGGGGTGGCTTAAAACATCCCAACCAAATGAAGACAACAAGTCTTGTGTTGCATGAGCGGTGTGCAAATGCACACTGTCATGGAGACAGACAGAAGGGAATGAGGATGGTCATCTCTAACCTTCAGCACAATGCCAGCCGATGAGCTACTAACGACTGGCACTGCTCGTTTGCTTCCACTGGCTTTTTTAAAAAAGCCTCTCCTGTGCTTATATTGGTCCAGAAAAGGCAAAAAATATGATGAAAATGCTTCCCAGATCTCATGCCCTCTTTGGATATTTTGGGCCAATTAGTTTTTCTTGTAAAAATTGTTTATGACTGGGGCTGGGGGCCAAAAGATGATGGAAATGCCCTCCATAGCCTCATGGTGGAAATGTCCTCCATACCCTCTAGAATGCATGCAGGTGCATTCTGGGAAAAAAATGTTTGATTTTTTAAAAAAATACATTGATCCATGAGATGGCACTTTTTTCCACTCCCAATTTAAACATGTGTTACCATACAGGTCAGAAATTCAAGGTAAGATATTATCTGTTCGTATGTATATACTTTTCTTCAGACAAATCATGGGGTGACATGTTTCACTGGAAAAGACAATAACCACATTATAAATTGATTCCAAAAGGAAGGATGTCCGAGTTTGCAAAACGTAGGACAGGGCTATGGATGACTTGGGCTCTGTACCACCTAGTCCTAAATGCATATTGAAGCAGCATTTCTTCCTGTGTCTGTCCAAGGACTGATGTACGCAGTGAGGGATCCTCTGTATCCCATCAGTTCCCCTGTGCCCTATCACGATGTGAGGACAAGGGCTGGGGACCCTCTCAGCCCAAATTAGAACCGAAATGCCTCCGAGATGTCATATTGACTTAGACTCAAAGCAAGGCACAGGGTAACAAAACCAAGCTCCTGGAAAAGAAGACTACAGAATATGTCTGTTAAAATAAGAATAGTCCTGGGAGGACAATGTTTTATTAAAGCTGCATCCAAATTTTAGCACAGCTAAGCACACATTACAATTTTCCACTATTATATATGGCAAAGTATGTTGCATGCCTTAACAGCAGCCACAAATCCCCAAAGACCCTTCGGCATGTGGAAGGCTTGTAGGTCCCCAGCATGGTTTTCAACTATTTTCCCTGACAACTACTCCCTAGTGGCATAAAGCAAAATATTTCTGACGTCCATTAGAAATGGAAAAAGCAGCAGAATGAAGGGTTTGAGGACAAGGGGAAAACATAAAAGCCTTTTTGACAGTAGTAAACTGTTTGTGAATGTTTTTGAATTGTGGTCTTATGTGCCAATCTTTTTTTTAAAACCCTAGACTTCTCTCGAACCCAACCTAGACTAATAGATGGTAATTATGTAAAAATTAATAATTAGTTCTAATGTCACTTATTTGAGAACAAGAGCATAATGTATTTCTAAACTAATGAGTACAAAACTGAGTGATGTTTCTTTATTGGTGAAACTCTTAAAGTTTTCTTATCTTTGGACTTAAAGGCTATTTTTAGAGGCATTTCAAATTTATTTCCTTTTCTCATGAGTCCTAGGGGTTTCTTTCTCAAACGATCTTTTTATGTGCCAAATGTATCATGTTAAAGAAGTAATGCAGCTTCTTCTATCATCTTAAACCCAGCTTCTACATCTTTGCTCTGAAACCCTCTACTGTCATACCCACTAAAGTCAGTTTTAACACCCATGCCTGATGAAGAAGTCTGTAAGATTTGAAAATATGTGCCATGTATTTTGTATCTTTTGGTTTGTCCAGAAAGATACCATTGCAATGTCTTTTTAAGATGTTGCTCATATTTAATATTCTTCCTTGGAACTCTCCTCTAAGCTTATCAGCCTCCAGGAGAGTAGGAAAGAATTTAGGATACTGGAGAAAATCAGTGATTAGAGAGAAACTATAAACCTTATTATGCAGGTTGATATGTAATATGTAGTACCCTCAACTCATCTACTAAACAATCAATAAAAGATAATCAGATACGGCTTTGACCCAGCAAGCTTAATTTCCTGTGAAATCAAAAAGAAGTGGAAAAATACCCCCTAGCAAATAACCCTGAAAGTTCTGATAATGTGATCTTAATTGTTTATAAGCTTACCAAAAGTTGTTCATATTCAGGTAAATTATGGTACTTTTGCAACCTCTGCTGGACAATTCAAAGAAGTGTTTGAGAACATGAACAGCCTAAGAAGCAGTAGTTGGATAGTAATAAATGACTGCACAGCACCCTCTGCTGCATTTCAAGTTATTGCTCTGCCTAAGCTTACAGCCCCCACCAATGGCACTATCTTCCAACAATGGTGGGAATTGAGTGCCCCTGTGAGGCAAGGTTATCTTGATGGCAACAGTGCAGCTGATAACATCTCCCATGTCAGACAGGCTTTTGCTGAGGAGCCAGATGAACTGTCCCAAACAACTATTGATGGCAGCAACAGTACTGTGTGTTTTGGGTGGGAGGATGACACTGGTCAAAGATCTCCCAGAGAAAATGGCAGCTAAGATTTGTTTGTAATGTGTAGAAGGAGGCACAGAAAAGCCCCTTTGAATGGATTTTATAACAAAACTTCTATGACGAGACAACCCAAAATGTGAAGGAAGAGATGGTGCTAGAAGATGAAAGTCTTAGGTCAGATGGTACTCATGGAGTGAACAGGATACAACAGAAGACAACCATTAGTAGCACTGTGGCTAATGATGCAACTGGACTCAAGTAAAAAGAATGTTCAACTGTTGACATATTTAGAGGTAAAAGGAAAATTCCAATTTGCACAACACATATTATAGGAACATGGAAGGTAGGAAACATGAACCAGGAGGAAGTAAACATAGTAAAACAAGAAATGGAATGTACAGGTATTCACTGCTCATTTAACAGAACACTGTCAAAACCCAGAAACGACTGAAATGGAACACCCTACAATGTGTTTTCCTGCTCAATTTGTTGAATATTGATTCAATTTTATTCTAATAAATGATAAAAGAGAGGATCATGTGTAGTAACTGAATGCATTTTAATCCCATCTTTTCTCAGCCACAGTAAAATACAATTATCCTAAATAATCAAGTCTGTTATAAGTATACATAGGACACATGATGTCAGGGTTGTTCAAATTTTGTGGGTTTAGTTTACATGGGCTGTCAAATACAGAAAAACAAAACCAAGCTGTCAGAAGTTCATTTGAAAAACATACATTTTATTTTGTTAAACAATGTAAGTGCCACTGCAACCCATTTAAAGAGAAACTTGACACTTCAGGTGGATTCTAGGAGAGGTTTGCAAACTCTACTATACAATCTAGCCCAGAGAGATTAAGTAAAATGTCTTATTTTTCTTCTGAAGTATCAATCAGCAGTGTAGAATAAATTTGAGACGTCTACGAATAAAAGAGGGAAATACTAATGGTAAAGATAAATTCTGGCCTTAATTTCCAAAAGGAAGGAGTCATATAATGTAAACATAATATAAAATGGAGTCAAGCACACAACTTATCCCTGTAAATGTTTTTATCCAAATCAAGGCACAGAAGCAGTTTGGTTAAATAGATGCAAATTATATCTGTAATAAGCCTCCAGTGGTGCAATGAGTTAAACCCTTGTGCTGGCAAGACTGAAGACCAACAGGTCGGAGGTTTGAATCCAGGGAGAGCTCCCTCTGTCAACTCCAGCTCCCCACACAGGGACATGAGAGAAGCCTCTACACAGATGGTAAAACATCAAAACATCTGGGTGTCCACTGGGCAATGTCCTTGCAGAAAGCCAATTCTTTCCCAACAGAAGCGACTTGCAGTTTATCAAGTCACTCCTGACACGAAAAAAATAATAATTCTGTAATTCTGTTTTATTTATTAGCCTTGAATAGAAATCTGTCTGTGTCTTGGTACCAATTTTTGCCAAAGCGGATTGCTTTTTAAATTTATCCTAGATATTGGCCTATCATAGCAAGTTGATGGTTACAGATAGAAGAAAGACAAAGCAAAGGAGAAATGTAAATGATGTAGCGTAAGATCTCTGAGACTATGGAATTAAACTGTCCTCTCTCTTTTAATACATCTCTTGCATATAGTCTGGAAGTAAAAAAAGGTGGTTAAAATCTTACTCTGGGATAGGAAGTTTAAGATTTAATTTTTGGAGTATTTTACCTCCAACAAAAGGAAAACAGTTTCACTTGGCAAGTTTTACCTATTCACACAAAAATAAATTAAAAATGAAATTCAAATGCCTAGTTTGGTCATTGTTTAATATTCCTGTGATCAGACTTCAGCTTTGTGGTTCATAGCAAAGAGCATAATAATAATATATATTATTAAAAATGGATACCTGGAGTGTTTTTAGTGTGTGCCAATTGTGATATCCTTTAAGCATTGATAGGAATTGCGTCAGTAGCAAAGGACCTATGATAATAATTTCTTGTGATTTAAGCCTAGACATTTTCCACATACACCTTCCTTCCATAGCAAAGAAGGCTGAAAAGACCGTGTGAAGAACAATAAGAAATACATTTGCAGAGAAATTGCTGCACGAGACATTGACAATAGACTAGTTTCCTGTTGGAGGAATATTCTCATGAAGATATTGCAAAGCCAAGTCAGACCATTTCATTTCTTGTTCTTTTACTGATTCTGTTGTTCCACCATTGTCTTGCTCTGGTTCTGGAAGCTCATTCTGGGTGCAGAAATATATTAAAACTGTTTTAAAATGCTGAGAAAAACATTTTTGCACTGATGAACATAGGAACACATAGAACAAAATAATCATAACAAAGAAAATCTTTTGAGTAAACATTCTTAGAATTCATCTGCAGTGGCTTGCTGACAAAAGTTCTATATGTGCACACACAGTAATCTTGAAAGCCACTATGCATTTCTTATGAGATGTAGTGAGAAGTAAAATGCGCCGATCTGGGAAATACTTTTGTGTAACGTATTACAACAAATTATGAAAGCAATGAAACTGAAATAGATCTAGGTTCTACTTATGAACTATCCACACGTTCATTCATCTGCACTGCCACTACAGTTTTGTTTTGGTTAATTTATTAAAGTTTTTTAGTTTTTTAAAAGATTATTTATTTTTTAAATTTCGATGTCACCTTTCTCACAGCAGGGAAATACGGTGGTTTACAATATTAGAACTTATTGTTGCAATAAGCACTGGGAGCGGTTTGGACGAATGGTAAAATATATGGTTGTAAATAAAAAGGATGGGGAATATCAATTCAGAGTCATACCTGGAATATTTAACTTACCAATGGGATTGCCACATCTTCATATGGTAATTTATCTTCTCTCCATGCATCGTCAATCAAATCTAGGATCCTCCCATCCCTCTGTACCTCACTGTCCATCTTTGCTTTAAAGAGAATGAATAAGATTTGTGGTGCATAGCATTTATGTTTTACTGCCTCATGTACAGAGGAAGAAGTGTTGGAGGCAACAGACAATGCCGTTGCCCATTTTTGGTCAAAACATATTGAGCTTCTTGTGCTCCTTCTATTTTTATCAGTTTTACACTAATTTATGCAATGCTTTTGATACAAAATAAAAATAACTGTTTTACTAGTCTTTTACCTTTCTGGAATGTGTCCAGAAGAGGGTGACTAAAATGATCAAAAGTCTGGAGACCATGAACTGGGCCTTCAGAAGTGAATTTATTTATTTTTGGTATTTGTATCCCATTCCTTCTCAACCTGTGAAGGGGAACTCAGGACGGCTTACATTTGGCAGCAATTTGATGCCACTACATATAACACAGCAATATAATAACAATTAAAACAATAAGTGAAACATTCCTTAAAACAGTAAAAAAACAGTATTAATAGCCGTAACATCGTTCTGGTCAATTCCATATCCAATTCCATGTCCAAAGTGCTATCTATGTCTGTTGTCCAAAAGCCTGGTCCCAGAACCATGACTTCAATTTCTTCCTAACTGGCGGGAGGGATGGAGCAAATCTTACCTTAGTGGGAAGCGAGTTCCACAGGTGGGGGACCACAGCCAAGAAGGCCCTGTCTCTCGTTCCCGCCAGACATATTTGTGACGCTGGCGGGAGTGAGAGCAGGGTCTCCCAGGAAGATCTTAAACTGCGAGGTGGGACGTAGAGGGAGATGTGTTCAGACAAGTAAGCTGGGCCAGAACCGTATAGGGCTTTATAGGTCAAAACCAGCACTTTGTATTGAGCTCGGAGAACATTGTACTCTGAATTATCTCCTCCAGCGGCTTCATGTAGAAGTGAAGACTGAGAGAAGACATGATCACCATATTTAAATATTTGAAAAGATGCTATAAGGAAGAGGGAGCAGGATTGTTTTCTGCTGCCCTGGAGAATAGGACTTGGAGCTGTGGGTTCAAATTACAGTAGAGGTTATTTTACATAAACATTAAAAAGAATTTCCTGACTGTTAAGAGCTGTTCAGCAGTGGAACTCTCTGCCTCGGAGTGTAGTGGAAGCTTCTTCATTGGAGGCTCTTAAACAGAGGCTGAATGGTCATCTGTTGGGGGTATTTTGATTGTGCTTTTCCTGCATGGCAAGAGTTTAGACTAGGTGGTCCATGTGGTCTTTCCAACTCTATGATTCTCCTAAATACATTCCTTCATAGGAACTCATGGTTATGTAAATGAAACATACATGGAAAAAGCTTATTATAGATTCCTGGGAAATACCAACACTATCTTTCATCTCCATTTTTATATGCTTTCCATTTTTTCGACGAGTTACCATCTATAAAGATGTCTGCCCCATTGTTCCATATGTGGTAAGTTTACTTAGGGTCTTTGGTGGCAGTATCAAAAACTTTTTGTGAATACAGATTTTTGATTCCCGCAGATCCCTCCCTATTCATTACGAGAATGATACCAATAAGATAATTCCACTGAGTAGTAGCCTTACAGGGTGGCTCATAAGGATTAGAATCATAGAATCATAGAGTTGGAAGAGACCTCGTGGGCCATCCAGTGCAACCCCCTTGCCAAGAAGCAGGAATATTACATTCAAAGCACCCCCGACTGGTCATCCAACCTCTGTTTAAAAGCTTCCAAAGAAGGGGCCTCCACCAGACTCCGGGGCAGAGAGTTCCACTGCTGAATGGCTCTCACAGTCAGGAAGTTCTTCCTAATGTTCAGATTTATTTACTTATTTATTTATCGTGTCAGTATCAACCAAACAATTGTATTACATTTTTAACAAACTTTTAACAAACAGACAAAACAGAGTTTGCAAGCTTGGTAGCTGATTAAATGTCCTTTGACCAGTAGCTGGCCACTTGGACTGCCTCTGGTGTTGCTGCAAGGAGGTCCTCCATTGTGCATGTGGCGGGGCTCAGGTTGCATTGCAGCAGGTGGTCTGTGGTTTACTCTTCTCCACACTCTCGTGTCGTGGATTCCACTTTGTAGCCCCATTTCTTAAGATTGACTCTGCATCTTGTGGTGCCAGAACGCAGTCTGTTCAGCGCCTTCCAAGTCGCCCAGTTTTCTGTGTGCCCAGGGGGGAGTCTCTCATTTGGTATCAGCCATTGATTGAGGTTCTGGGTTTGAGCCTGCCACTTTTGGACTCTCGCTTGCTGAGGTGTTCCAGCGAGTGTCTCTGTAGATCTTAGAAAACTATGTCTTGATTTAAGTCGTTGACATGCTGGCTGATACCCAAACAAGGGATGAGCTGGAGATGTTCAGATGGAATCTCCTTTCTTGTAGTTTTAAGCCATAATTCCGTGTCCTAGTCTCCAGAGCAGCAGAAAACAAGCTTGCTCCCTTCTCCCTATGACTTCCTCACACGTATTTATACATGGCTATCATGTCTCCTCTCAGACTTTTCGTCTTCAGGCTAAAGATGCCCAGCTCTTTAAGCCACTCCTCATAGGACTTGTTCTCCAGACCCTTGATCATTTTAGTCACCCTCCTCTGGACACATTCCAGCTTGTCAATATCTACACATCTACAATAAACTACAGTCTTTCATCTCACTGGTCATCCAGGCTCTGTTTAAAAGCTTCTAAAGAAGGAGCCTCCACTACACTCCGGGGCAGAGAGTTCCATTGCTGAACAGCTCGCACAGTCAGGAAGTTCTTCCTAATGTTCAGATGGAATCTCCTTTCTTGTAGTTTGAAGCCATTGTTCTGCGTCCTAGTCTCCAGAGCAGCAGAAAACAAGCTTGCTCCCTTCTCCCTATGACTTCCTCTCCCTATGAAGTCTCTCTATGACTTCCTCTCACGTATTTATACATGGCTATCATGTCTCCTCTCAGACTTTTCGTCTTCAGGCTAAAGATGCCCTCATAGGGCTTGTTCTCCAGACCCTTGATTATTTTAGTCGATCTCCTCTGGACACATTCCAGCTTGTCAACATCTCTCTTCAATTGTGGTGCCCAGAATTGGACACAATATTCCAGGTGTGGTCGAACCAAGGCAGAATAGAGCATGGGTAGCATGATTAGAATTAGAAAACATAGACTGGTACATCTGAGCACTTCACTATTACAGTTAATTGATGCCAAGCTGCATTTACACAAGGCATGGGGAAACTTGGGCCCTCCAGGTGTTTTGGACTTCAACTCCCACAATTCCTAACAGCCTCAGGCCCTTTCCTTTCCCCCCTCAGGCGCTTAAGCAGCTGAGGGGGGAAAGGAAGGGGCCTGAGGCTGTTAGGAATTGTGGGAGTTGAAGTCCAAAACACCTGGAGGGCCCAAGTTTCCCCAGGCTTGGCAAATGCATCCTGACTTCCCTATGTGTATACTCGTGGCCACTTGCCTGCCTATGGATTTGTCAAAGGAAGGAAAAGGTAACTTGTGGAGACAGCTCACAGCGAGCACTTCCCACCCTCTCACCTGAAGCGCCTCAACACCACTGGCCTCTCAACCTCAGGAACAGAGGACGTGACGTCACAGGCGGCCACTCTAGGCGGCGGTAACCACAGAGAGACAGAAGCGGCGGCGGAGAGGCGGGGCTCCAAGTCCGCCCCCAAACACCGTCGACGGGGCTTCCTAGAGCGCACGTAACGGATGAAGTAGTCGCCTGCAGCTTCCGGTGCCTGCCAGAGCGTGAACGGAAGTGAGGCACTTCTGTTGAGAGACTCTTTTCTCTCTCTCTCCTCCTGAGACATTTGAATCTTCATTCCCTCGCTCTGGAGTGTCTCTCTCCAGCGTCTTTCCCTCTCTCTGAAAAAGGGAGCCATTGCCCCACAATGAGCTCTTCCACTCTTCTTAATGGGAGCTCCAGTCTTTCATCTCACTGACCACAAGGACAACTTTGAACTTATTTCAAGAGGGAGGGGGAGAGAGGGTTATTTCCAGGCCTAAATCCATATTGTTAACCGCAACCCAAAATATACCAGTGGGAATTTGGTAAGTCTGCATTTATTCAGTTGTTTAGTTACAAAAATGCAACCACACTGACAAATTAATACTGTTGGATACCACTTTAAACTGCCTGGCTCAATGCTGTGTAATCTTGGGAGTTGTAGTTTGACAAGGTATTTGGCCTTATCTGCCACAGAGTGATGATGCCTCACTAAACTTGGGAAGTCTGATCTGGCCACAGTGGTCCATGCTCCTGTTATATCCCGAATAGATTACTGCAACGCACTCTACGTGGGGTTGCCTTTGAAGACTGTTTGGAAACTTCAACTAGTCCAGCGGGCGGCAGCCAGATTACTCACTGGAGCATCATACAGGGAACATACCTCCCCTCTGTTATGTCAGCTCCACTGGCTGCCAATCCAGTTCCGAGCCTAACTCAAAGACCTCACCTCTGAGGATGCTTGCCATAGATGCAGGCGAAACGTCAGGAGAAATGCCTCTAGAACATGGCCATGTAGCCTGAAAAAACCCACAAGAACTGAGTGATTCCAGCCATGAAAGCCTTCGACAATACATAACTCAAAGTGCTGGTTTTGACCTACAAAACCCTATACAGTTCCGGCCCAGCGTATCTGTCCGAACGCATCTCCTTCTATGTCCCGCTTCAAAGTTTGAGATCTTCTGGGGAGGCCCTGCTCTCAGCCCCACCTCTATCACAAATGAGATTGGTGGGGACGAGGAGCAGGGCCTTCTCGGTGGTGGCCCCTCACCAGTGGAATTCACTTCCTGGGGAAATTAGGTCATCGACATCCCTCCTCTCCTTTAGAAGGAAGCTAAAAACATGGACATGGGACCAGGCCTTTGGGTGATCTGGCAGATAGACAAAGGACAACAACGACTGGAATGGATAGGATTTGACAATGTGGAATGAATTTATGGATTCTGAGCTGGCGAACGTTGAGCATTAGACTGGTTTTATTGATTGTGTTGTGTAATTGATGGTTTTAATTGTTTTATATGTTTTTCTCTTATTGTTTGTATTGGCATCAAATTGTGCCTTTTGTAAGCCGCCCTGAGTCCCCCCTTGGGGGTTGAGAAGGGTGGGGTAGAAATACGCGAAATAAATAAATAAATAAATAAACTACAGCTCTCAGGAATTCATATCTTTGAGCTAAGGCATAGCTCTGAGCTAAGGATTTCATAGCTTTGAGCTAAGTGGTGTCAAATTGCATTAATTCTACAGTGTAGATCAGGCATGGGCAAACTCTGGCCCTCCAGGTGTTTTGGTCTATAACTCTCACAATTCCGGTAGGCTGTTAGGAATTGTGGGACTTGTAGTCCAAAACACCTGGAGGGCCAGAGTTTGCTCATGCCTGGTATAGATGCATCCATAGTGGGTGGGTTGTAGTTATTTTTATTTATTTATTTATCTAGGGTATTTTTACTCCGCCCTTCTCAACCCCCTAGGGGGGACTCAGGGTGGCTTCCAGCCGGCACATATTTGATGCCTACAATTAAACACAATAAAATACACAACAAACAGTAATTATAAATAATTAAAAAATTGAGTTAATACAATAAAATCTACTAGAGTAGAAGCCTGCCTGGTGGCCATCGTTTCACCGAGTTCTGTAATTAGCAATTCCATTCAGCTTATCATAATCGTTTCCAAAGCTCTTGTCGTCATTGTCCTTTTCAGTCTGCCAGAGTACCCAAAGGCCTGGTTCCATATCCATGTTTTTAATTTCCTTCTAAAAGAGAGGAGGGATGACGATGATTTAATTTCCCCAGGGAGTGAATTCCACAGGCGGGGGGCCACCACTGAGAAGGCCCTGTCCCTCATCCCCACCAGTCTCGTTTGTGACAAGGGCGGGGCCAAGAGCAGGGCCTCTCCAGAAGGTCTTAAATTCCTAGGCGGGACGTAGAAGGAGATATGTTTGGACAGGTACGCTGGGCCGGAGCCATATAGGACTGATAGTTGGGTGTAAGCCTTTAAGGCCTCCCCCATTTCTTATTCAACCGTAGCCCACACTTTCTGTACTTGGGAAAAGGTGCTGCTCTCCTTTGCCTTCCATTGCGTGCTTTCCTAAGTGCATGAATTTCTTTTCTTGGGCAGCCGAGGCCCCATCTACACTGCCATATAACACAGTTTTGAACTGCATTATATGGTAAAGGTATATGGGCCCAACTAACCCTTCGAAGGCCCAGAAAGAGTAATTCATTGAAGCTTTAAAGCTGTTAGGACAGGGGTAATATTTATTTCAGGTTCCCGAAAAGCTGATGAGTTCTCAGGGAGTACTAACCAGGGCCCCTCTGCTTGAGCAATAACAGATTGTGTACTACGGGTTGAATATCCCGTATCTGAAGTACTTGGGCCCAAAAAGTGTTTGGGATTTTAGGATACTTGCATTCACATAATGGGGCATCTTTCAGGTGGAACCCAAATCTAAACATAAAATTAATTTACATTTCGTACACACCTTATTCACATGGCCCAAAGGTGATTTTATGTACAGTATTTTTAGTAAAAAATTTTTAACAGAACAAACTTTGTATATTAAACCACCAGAAGGCAAAAGGCCGCAGTATCTCAGCCATGTGAATAGGTTTTGGTTTTGGAGTATTTCAGAATTCCAGTTCCAGAGAAGGGATTCTTACCTGATGATATGTCGGTTTTGAAAACAAAAATAAAACAAACCTACAGTTGAATACAAATGCTTAGAATCAAACTATTCTGCAGTTCAGATATGGAGAAAAGCCAATTCGACTTTTCAAATAAAGACATTTAGTGATTGCAATGTAGACTTAACCTTGTATTTAGTCCATATGAAAATATAATATTATATAATTTCTTCAGAAGCATGCACATGTCTTCATGTACTGTGAATTTATTTGTACAGCGTATTTTATGTGTTCAAGGTCTAACTGTATAAAGATAGGAGGAACTTTGTGGTGATATTAAGGAATAATAAGTAGATGTGATGCATTGTATTAGTAATTGGGGCTAAGTAGCACTCATTTATTTAATCTGAAACCTATCTGTTGTGTATTTATTTATGACATTGATTTGAATTCAGGAAATGACATGCACTTAAGAGTAGGAGCACTGTACAGGTTGAGAAAAACTCACCATTGAGGAATGGGCAAATTCAGTAGGCAACAGTAAAAGCTGCAGTCTGCGGAATACAATGATGCACAAAGGACATATTCAGGAGTGGAAGCACTGCAGTAGAAGCAGTGATGCGCTGCTGGATGCATTGTATAATCAGAACACAATGGCAAAGGGACTGTTGAACAACTCAGTGCATTATTGAATACCCAATCCAGTTCTCCCCACACTTTTTGTGATAATTGGATTTTGAAAAAATTGGCTTGTTGTGAAAACAATGGAGAGCCCTTTTCCCCATGATAACTCTTTCAGGAGTGAATTTCCAATCCGAGGGGTACATTTCTCTCACTTCCTCTTGTCTCTCCCCCATCCTTAACTATGAGTCATTAGTAAGTTGGATGTTTGTAACTCGGGGACTGCCTGTATTTGAATTGGACGCAGAATCATAGTAATTAATCTATGATTTGTCTGTTAATGTGTGAATATTGACATAAACACTGGTATGATATTACATATATCTACTTCTTAATTCATGGAGAATGACCCAGATCATTTATGTTACCATTGAAATCAGTGCAGTGGGTTTTTAAATGTATTTTTTCTGCACCTATCCATGTTATGAAATGATTAAGACTTAGATCAGGTTGGTCAGTATGGGCAGGAGTCTGATTTTGGTCTGAGAATTTTAATGTGAAATCAGTGCTGGGTTTGTTGCGATAGTGTGGTGGTATTAATACAAAGCTGCCACTTCTAGAGATCCCCAAAAACAGTAGTGGGGTTTTTTAATTGCCCAACCAACTTTGGATGCAGTGGCTTTGAAGAGGTTTTTTTTGGAGGCGGATAGATGTTGAGAGCTACACAAAAGGGAAATGAAAACCAAACTGACAAGTAAATCTTTTTTATTTCCATGTGCTTTGTAAATAAAATGTTTGTTGGTTTTTAATATACTGTACCTTAAATGTGAGCTACTTATAACTCAAAACAGAAGGAGATAAACTAGACATCCTCAAATTGTGGACCTCCAGCTGTTTGGGCCTCCAATTCTCAGAATTCCTGACCATTGAACAAGCTGGCTAGGGCATCTGGGAGTTGAAGGCCCAAATGGCTGGAGGGCTGCGTTTTGAGGTCACCTGAGAAAAATTATAGTGGCTATGAAAGAATTTTATGAAAATTGCAATTCTATAAAAACCTAAGGCGCACCATTGCCAGTAACATCACACACTGGCCGAATGGGGAGATGTGTGGGCAACACAGGATGGAGGCACACATTTTAGCTGCGTTATATATCTGTTCTATCCATTATTGTGCTTTTATCAACCGGCAGCTTAATATTTACCCCCAAACCTGGCACAAATAATATCAGCTAAAGACAGTAAGGGATATTAATTACTTGTTGCCTACGTGTAAAGCCGCCTTGAGTCTCCTTTGAGGTGGGAAGGGTGGGGTACAAATATGGTAGATAAATTAAATTGCTACACTTTTGTTGTTAATTGGTCCTCTGGTGGCACCAACCTAGCAGTTCAAAAACATGCAAATGTGAGTAGAT